TTCTCAGTGGCGCCACCAAGGGGTGGCCAGGGGTGGCCATAGCCACCCTGTGCAATTCCCTGGCAACCCCGCTGGCCACCCCGCTCACCAGTGTAAATTGGAGTAGCATCAGTTTAGCATTTCATCCCATTATGCACAACCAGCGACGTAACATTAAAAATGTAATAAAAAACCAAGATATGAGTTGATGTTTACTTAAGTCTTTATGATTTCTACAAGCAGGTTTACCACAATATTAAATTCAAACCCTGAGATTATGGCAGCGCCACTAGTTGTTCTTGCTGAACAGCTCCTCATTTTCTGCTCTAAACTTTAACGAATCTTTCGATCGGACCGACTTTCAACTTGATCGTGCGTCATGAGTCATGTAGTGTACAGGGAGTTATGAGGGGTGATCAGCCTTTCACGACCACCTCCTGATCAGGAATCGTGAGGTCGGGACCATCGTGAGCAAATCTCTCAGGGTGCAAAGAAGGATTTTGCTTTAGCCTCGCGTACACTGTGCGATTTTCTTCAATTGTTGCATGCAGCTACTGCTCACACTGTACGACTAAACCGTAGGGTTTAGTCGTACAGTGTGAGTTCACAGCTCATGATTTATGTTCGGCCCGACGCTCTCATGAGATCTACCTGCTCACATTGTACGACTAAAAACCACGTCAGACTCAGCTCCGCAGTGAGATGGAGCCGCTCTGACTTGTCTATACGGACGCCAAACAAATAGAAGGGGGATATTAAGCTCACCAGAGTGAAATGCGCTGCCTTGGCAATTTGTGCAATTTTGTGCTGACAGCCCTAAAAAGAAAAGGCGATGACATATTTGGGAAAGACATGGCTGAGCAAATGTGGCTACTATGTTCTGTCAGTTTTACTAACAGAACTGCATTTCACTCATTGCATCCCTGGCATGCTGCTGTGTTTACATCTGAATGGAAAAATAAAAAGAAGAATCCTTCTTTGCGCATGCGCCCTGAGCGATTTGCCCACAACGGTCTCGACCTCACGCTTCCTGATCGGGAGGTGGTCGTGAGAGGCTGATCGCTGCTCGTAATACACTGTGTGCAGAATTAGGCAAGTTGTATTTTTTAGGATTATTTTTATTATTGGGCCACAACTATGTTCTCAATTAACCCAAAAGAGTCCTTCATATCAAAGTTTCATATTTTTGGAAGTTGATGTGTTTTTTTTATTTAGATTTGGCCATTTTTTAATGAGGTTGTTTGTGTGTGCAGGTAAATATTACTGTGCAGAATTATTAGGCAACTTAATAAAAAAAACAAATATATACCCATCTCACTTGTTTATTTTCACCAGTTACACCAATATAACAACTCAGAATTCAGAAATAAACATTTGCGACATTCAAAAACAAAACAAAAAAAAACCAAATCAGTGACAGTACACACTTTTTATTTTGTCTTTTTTTTTTTCATTCTTTGAGACAAACAGTTAAGTAACAAAGTACTTGTATCCCTGCCTGACTGTAATATAAAACTGTTTTAATTTTGTCATGATCCACAGCACTTTGAGTTTCTTATTCAAGAAGGTCTTGCACACTCAAGTACCCAGGTTATGACACTTTTGCATTCTTTATTGTTTAATACCCAGCAGTTATTCTTATTATTGTTTTTTTATTTGTTATTTCAGAACATTAAAATCATAAAATGGGCATTTTTAAAATTATTTAGCCTTTTTCTCCTCGTTTTGTGCACCAAAAACAAAAAACATGGATCAAGTGAATGCAAATCTAGCTATTTATTGACTTTTAGCATCACTTAGTGGCCAAATAAACTCACTGCAAGCTGTAAAACACCACTGTCTTTGAATTGTTAATTGAATAAAATAATGTATTATTTGAAAAATATAAAATTAATAACAAAACACTTCGGTTGGCAGTTTGTGACACAAACAATCACAATTTTCCTATTAATTGTCTAAAGGTTATTTAAACAGATATTGATTAAGTTGCATTATTCTAAAGCTATATATATTCTAACAATTAAAGAAAAAGGTAAAAAGAAAAAAATGCTATATGTAGAAGGGCTACATTAATAGCTCTACCAATCTTTTTAAATGTGAAAACAAGTAGAGATCATGAGCTACAAGGACAGATATTGAAAACCTGGAATATCTAGGATTTGAAATGAAAACCATGATGGGGTATATTTGGATTGTGATTATTTCTGTCATGTAACTACTTGGCTCTATAGGGAAAGACGGATTTTTGTTTTTCTTTATAACTCGTTAAACTTGTAAAGTAGAAGTTTTACACATTTAGATAAAGAGATGTTTATATTTCAATTTCAAGTGCTTGGTTTGTGTTTGTCTAGCTAGGCTGGGTAGGATATGTATTCAAAAGATGTCATATTTATAAAGATTTTCTGTGGGGCCAACTGCTGACAGGCATGGAAAATGCAGGATTTTACTGACTGAATCAAAAAAGACATCAGGTACAAGGAGCACAAACACAGAAAAGAGCAGGATGACAGAAACAAAAGGCTGTAGGGAACCCCAAACCTCAAACGCCTCAAGATTTTGACAACATCAGGCTAAAATGTGCCATAAATACGTTTCACATTCCATGATTTATGTTTTATGGCAGGTTGTATATGGATCACACTCACTCCGGGGAAGACACCAGGAATAAGCATGATTCATATGGATCCTAGACTTGTCATGTTTTAGGGCCTACCAATAAAATACATATTCCACTGCTGTTGGTTGTATTTTTTCAATCGCTAAAGGTCCTATTAAAGAAGCTTAATATGGTCTTGATACAAAATTGTACCAAGCCAGTCAGAGAAGAATCTGTTTGATTTAGGAGCTGTCTTGCAAATACCATGTATTCTAGAAACAATAAAAATAGACAATCTGAAAGGAGAATGAGTAAAGTATCTAAAATTTTAATTCTGGTTAAGAGTATAAGGTGTTTTTGTATATGAAGCATATTTCAGCTTCATGCTTTTTTTTTTTTTTTAACATAATATTGTATATCTTTGCCATACTTTTAATTTCTAATTGTTCAAAAAGTTTCATCCAACCATTCATCACATCTTGAACATTAGAAATGCACCCATAAAAGCCTAAGCCCAAATGGATCTCTGATGAACAGACAAAAACATGTTTTGAAAAAATTAAAATTTGGCCATTCAATCTAGTTTCCTTTAACGTAGGTTTCAATCTGCTTTGACATGAAATCGTTCTGTTTGTTGATGAAATTTCATACTTAAATGCTAGTGGACAGTGTCGCTTATGTGGGGGTTCGAACAGATGTCATTGGTTGTATTTTGTTATTGAATGCAGATAAAACAAAGAATCATCGCAAAATGATCTAAAAAAAATTACAGTAATTGTATCTTTTTCTGGATTAAATTAAATGCTTATTATGTCAAGATGGATGGATGGATGGATGGATGGATGGATGGATGGATGGATGGATGGATGGATGGAT